TCATGGGAGATAATGGCGAATCAAATGGAAAATGGCCGGAACACTCGGATTATAGAGGGGTTATGCTAGGAAGAATTCCCTCTCCCAATATTCACCCCCCCCACGCCCCCAAATGTTCAAGATTCCCCGATATAGTCTAGTATACTACAATGGGAACATTCAATATTGGGGTTAGCAGGGTGTTACTATTAGGGCAAAGTCATGCATGTGGACCCCGTGGATTTCGGGCTTAGAGTTGTGCGAACTCGATGTAGGGATGCTGTAGGGCGTACCCTCCCCCAAACTAACATGGAACCCCGTATAGCTCCCCCTTCAAGAGGACAGTAGTCTTCATACGGCTTCTTTTGCGCGTTCTATGTTAGTTCGGGGGGAGTAGAGCTTCGCGATCTCGTCATCATGTCCGCGAGAGCGGGGGTCTATGTCTCTCAAACAGGATCTCCCCAAAGAAGCCCCGTAGCAGGCCCACACCAGGTAAAGGGTTAAGGGATAAGGGAGTCTACTCCAGGGCTCCCGTGTTGGGTTGGATAGGGCCGAAAGGGTTGGCTTGGAGGGAAGTGTAGGTTTCAGTCGCGCCAGTGCACCGCCTTTTTGCACTGGTTGTTTTCCTAAAAGTACAAGGATTTACAATGAAGGATCTTGCAGGGCATCTAGGGTTTCAGGGGGGATGCCTTCAGGCAAGGATGATAGAGGTATGGGTTGGGTGCAGGAGAAGAAAAGCCTGCCACTTTCCCTCAACTTCTCTCTAGCGTCAGAGCACACGTGAGTGCTTAGCATGCGCTCGGTAAGCATCAAGGCTGCCATAGGGACTTGGCCTCTGCTACTTGGTGACTGCTCAGCAGGCACTCCCTAAGTGCTAAACTGCTTGCTCCTAAGCTTCTGACAAGGGCAAGGGTCTAAGGTGCAGGGTTCTGATGCAGGGAATTTGCAGAACTCATCGCAGATGGTATCAACTTCAACATTTCTATAGGGGTCTCAGCAAGTACCAATGTTTGGATGACTATTTGAGGTAACCTATACTTCGATTATCGCAGGGATCCGGGACCACACTGTTGGTATTTCCCCAGGCTCCTGTAGGACCTCTGCATGCCTACAAGTATGATCTGGAAGTTCCGATGAAACTCTCTGCCAGGTAAACACTTCCACACCAGCATGACATCACTCGTAATCCTTTAACCTTGCATTGAAGATAGATGCATGGAGGCTCATGGATCGGAATAGTAATCGCAAGCCGTGCCCCGCACAAAGGTTCTATAGCGCCAGCTTCTTGCCATACGCATAACTGCCAGGGCACCACCAAGCAGACAGGCCCTACAACCCTGAACCCATGACGTAATTTCCATACATAGGGGGACCCCATATATAGACCCAAAAAATCTATAGTCCCTTAGTATAGGGAACCCCAGAATTGTACCCCTAATTTTGGGAAAGCCTAAACCTTAATCCTTTTTTTTGCTGCTGGACTTGTGCAATCGCCATCCCTAAACCATATATATCCCCATATGACCCCTTTTGTCCCATCTAAGGGTATCCCTAACTTGGGGGAACCCCCATAGTGGTACAACAGTACAACCCAACCCTGGGCTCCCAGCACAATTTCAGACATGGAGACCGCGCCATCCTCTTCCTTAGCAACAATCATTTTTTTTGGGTGTAGGGTTCAGGGTGAGCTATAGCCTAAACTCCCAGTACCCACCTTAGTTTAATAACCCCTATGTTACTCCTCCATGTAACCCCCCTTTTCAGAGTTTAGACCGTAGCTCATGTAGTGATAGGAATAGGATTTAAGCAGCTCTGGCTTCGTAGAATATCAGCCTGTTTTTGGCTAGGTTCCCCAGTAACCCATTAGTAATAAGGGTACCCTTTTTCCTGATATTCAGCTTTAAGAAGGAGCCCCAAATAGAAAGGGAGAAAGGGTACTACTGGGGTACCTAGTTGGTGAGGATTTGTCGATAGTGGAAGGGCCCTCGAGCAAAGCCAACAAGGATCTTCTGAATGCTATGACAACAGGCCCTTGCATACACCACCATCATCGTTTAGGGTGTAGTCTTGAACAATTGTAACGCAGCCAGCTATAGGAAATTTCTCAGGCTTAAGCCCCAAAACGGAAAGCCAGAACCTTGAACTTCTTTAAGCAAGGACGCCCCACTGCGGAAGACTCTGAGATACTGGTTAGAAAGATTTTCAGAATTCTGATCCATCAGTCGCCGTGTAGCACAAGGCCTTTTGAAAACTTTCGTTGGCACCTCCCGCCTCCATGTCCAATTCTAACCCAGAGGTTCCAAGTACCCAATAACTAGGTACTTGGGTTTTGGGTAATGGTAACAATAGTACAGGTTTTGGGTAAGTATATGCTTATTGGGTACCTGGGCCCTTAGGGTAACCCTGAACCTCCCACGAAGATGACGACACTCATGCTATGCTTGGAGCTGTTGCCTTTCCCAATCAGCAAAGCAGCAGCGTTGAATGCGTCGAAAACGCCAGGACGTGGCTCAACGACCCTGAGCAGGACGACCAATGGTTATACAGTATAGCAACTACAAAGCCGCAATCCGCAATGCAATGACCTAACGAAGACGAAGAGTACCATGCCACTGCTTTGCGCTTCAAGCTGCATAAAAGCTCTGAAACGAAAGTCGTGACAGCCGCAGCTACCGTCACGACAGCATCACAGGCGTGATGTGGCGAGAACCCAGCCAAGCCACACGTCAAGCGAATCCAGAAGCTGTCGCACCTTGCATCTCTCATAGCTCGTGTCCGATTTGTGCAAGGTTCGGCATCTGAGGTCTGGGGGCATAACACGGCTAATTGCATTTCCTGGTGAGCTCCATTTTGTACACTGGCACTGGGCCGAGCAGTTTCAAGTTTTGAGCTTCTTGTTTGGTTGCAACTACAACCTCCTCTTAGCAGACTCTAGCTAGCTGCCTTCAGACCTACCGATGCACCTATAAGCCCTACTGCGTAGCAGTTGGAGACGAGCAGCCTCGGGGCTCCGGATCACGTGGTTGAATTCCTCCTCACCTTAAAGCAGCGCAAAGCTTGGCTGACGCAGGGGCCTGAAAGATCTCAGTGGGTATGGGGAGCAAGGAAAATAAGGGAATCATGCCATAATAGTTGGTCCTTGCAGCAGGCCTGCAAGTGCAAAACATGACTCTGCCAACTTGGAAGGACCTTGCAGGTTCATGCGATACTGCTATCAACGAGCCTCAGCTTGCACCACTTGTTTGCAAATCAGAGTGCCTTCGCCATGTGTCCGCGTTGTGACGAAAGCTAGTGCGCACTTGTTTGGACTCCCACATGCCACTACATGCGTGTAGCTGACAGAAGATGTTGTCATGCTTGTGCCTTGAACTGAAACCCAAACAGCATTGACAGCAGCTGTTGCCGATTATGAGCTTGACTTCGACATCCTGCAGGTCCTTTTTTTCGTTCTGTAGTCGTTCTTGCACTCTTTCAGGTTAGGCTCTTGAGGTCATGGCTTGCTATGAAGGAGCCGGCCAGTTGTTGTGTCTGCTGTTGGGGATGCGTCCCGCCGCTGCAACACTGAGGGCTTCCCTGTGAGAGCACTTTTTGGGTCACAGCTCCAGAAAAAACTTCATGACTGGTAGCTTGAACTAGTGCAGATGAAGAAAAAATCCTGAACGTAGCCTTGCGTGGAGGGCGTGGTCTTGTTTCTACAGTTTTTGTCATGTGGCTCTCTCTGCGTTCCTGTTGTACACCCACACAATGCTCTTGAAGGCCCGCGAAACGGGGGCCGCTGAATCTGAGATATCCCACCACACCTGATATCACTCTCAGCGCCAAGGTGCACGTCTTGAGGCGTCTGGTAAGCAAAAGTGAAGGCGCCAACAGCACGGGCATATCATGGTATAGACCTCCTTCCTAAATGAGGACCCCAAGAAACTGCAATCAGCACTTTGCGGTTAGAGTCACACAAATACTGCCAAGACGCTCAGATAGATTTCACCGCCATGATCAACTGGCGGTTCCTCTTCTTCTTCTGAATCGGAACTGCGCGGGTGCAGTCTTGAGAACAAAGTGCGATGCTCGTTACAACCTGGAACGCTTGCTGCACATGTTTTCTTGGATAACTACTCCTTATTGAAGCTCGAAATGCACCCCATAAAGCCCGGTAAAATGCCTGCAACGCTGGCAGGATTTCCCAGCAATGGCTAAGGCCCTCTTATGTACAGAGCCCACAGCCCTACGCAGTAAAATCAGAGCGCAAAACCCTGAAGGCGCCTTCCGTCTGAGTTAAGGCCTCGTGGCAACGATACCGATTTCCTGCATCGTGGGACATCCGCAAGAAGCACAGCTTCGAGCAATGCACTTTTGTTGAAAGGTCACGATTCTTGATGCGCTTTAGCTGTCGAACACTGCTGTGATGATGATCAGCTTATTTGCTAAAACGGCGGTGAGCGCAGTGGCAGTTATAATGACGACAAGGACGGCCAGTGACACAAACAAGATTGAGAATGATGGCGGCAAAAGCAGTCAGGACAGTGACTGCCACACATGCATGTATGCTAATTTTGACATTGTGGCTTCACAGCGGGAAACAAAATTCGAAAGCACCCGCCCAACATCGAAGCACTGCCGCCTAAGGTTGCTCACCTGGGTACGCTTGAGATGGCTCCTGATGCTCCTGTAAACTACCATGGCCGCAGAGCCATGACCACCCTACGCACCGGCAGGTCAATGATCCTCTCCCCTGTAATTATTACATAAGGCGATTCTTTTATTTCTGGGGGTTCGCGGTTTTGTTACCAAGGGTAGGGGATTGCTCGAGGCATCCTGACTTCCAAATTTACCCACGATGAGATCCCTGCCAGCTCGTTCTTCCAACCAGGTTGTAAGCGGCGAATTGGAACCCAACAAGAAATTCACAACCCAGCCAACTCTTTCTTGCAGAGGTATGGTACTGTTTCAGGATTGAGGCAGAAACCTCTGATTTGTTGAACATGTACCCTCCGAACTTAAAGCTTGTGCCCAGCCATGGGGTCCTGGATCGCATCATCTGTGTCTGGCTGGCCACGCAAACAACAAGCTTAGCCAGTTGCTCCGTCCTTACACAGACTCTGCGATGGCAATGCTTCTTGCCACTAAGGACGGACGATGGTCTTTCTTGGGTACCCTAGATATCCGGGGCAGTACTAGGCAGTAGGCACAACAAGAGGTCATGATTTTGACAATCCCCCCTTCTTGACTTCTTTTGCAGGGCCCCGCTGGAAACCCCGCTGGGCAAGTGCCCTCCACCTGATATCATATGTTACAGGCAGAGGCGGAAGGCAAGACCGACCCTTCCAGAAGCTACAGAACACCATAAAACGCAGCGGTCAGGGCGAAGGCAAAGAAGTCAAGACCGGAAAGTGGAAACACCATGTAAACACATAGATACAGTTTTTCTTCGAGTTCACTTGATTGTAGATGGGATCTTAATCTTGACTTCAATTGATTTTTACTTGGACCTAATTAAATTTCATGTGTTTTTAGACTGGGTTCAGTTTCACTTCACTTGTTTTTCATTCGATTCCAAGTGCTGCAAATATTTGAAAGTGTACTAAACCTGGTAGCAATGTGTTTGGATACGAGTTCTGGACCCTAAGCCACATGTAAACGCAAAAGGTAATGCCTTTCATTTTTACATCCCCATGTACTGCTGGCAAAACAAGGGCCCGGTTACGACTTCCACCCGCAGCTGTATAACTGAAGGTGAAGCTGTGACGGTACCGGCCAGGCTGTGTCCCACACAAGCACTCAGGTGCAAAGGGGCCATGCTCCACACAAGCATTCACAATCAAAGCCCTGAACAACCCCATGCCCTAAACCTGGTCGGCCTAAATTGCAAGAATTCCAAGGCCAGAGGTACGCCGATTTGTAGCACTGTTTCACGGACACTGCCGCCGTGAGGGAGGTCGCTATACTAATTGCGTAGCTTTGACCCAAAAAGGCCGAGAGTCATGTAGCTGGTTTCATATGCTTTTGCATACTTCCGCTGGATCTCCGTCTCTTTGAGGCCGTTCCTAGGCGGCCATCTCATGGGAGCTTGAGCAAAGGCCACCCCTAGGTAAATGGGGATCTTATTATTTCATACCCAAAGCCATAATCTATCTACTTACGGGGGCCTATATGGTACCTATATGTACCTATACCGGGGAGAAACTCCAATGCAAGACAGGTCAGTTTGTTATTTGATTGGGGACTGTGTTTTGAGGGTCTTGTGAGATGGCGGAACATCCTAAGGCACGAACTCAAATCCTTCGGAGTCGTAAACCATCCTCGCCTTCAGTTTACAGGCAACCACTCGAAACCAGGTACTTTTCATCAACCCGAAGCTTGCATCAATCCCAGCTCATAAACTTTCCGAGGTCCTTAGTTGTAGGGATTCTCTTCCTTTGGGGGATTGCAAGATGCATCCTGTTCCGAATCATCCCCTAGAACATTATGCCTCAAGCTGAGAACTAGTCTCAATGTGGCTTCCACAAAAATTGCGGTGATGATGTTGAACAGGCCGAAGAGTACCTGGCTCCATTCTGACAACGAAGCTCATCGCAAAAAAGGGATCTCTTTCTACCTGGACTTGGACCTTACTAACACACATGATAACCATGATCTTGGAGTCAAATTGAAGGCTACTACAATTGGCATTTGGCAGGTCCAGGTACCTCCAAACCCGAAGAACCCCCCAAAGAGGCCCATGGTACGAGCATCAGGCTTAGCTAGGTGCCAGTGATACATGCAACAACCTATTCAAAGTGCTTCAACCGGCCAATGGAATGGTACCCCAGCTCCTGTTTGGGTCACATCTCTCCTGGATGGCAGTCTATTCTCTGGCAGCATGGCACCCAGCAGGATCCCCAAAGTCCTACTGAAAACAAAAAAAGATGATTCTAATGAGCTAGCAGCATCTGTCTTGCACTTATATGGTAGTTTCCCAAAATTGGGGGACCCCAATATAGACCCAGAATATTCTAATCCTGATTAGGGGGACCCCCAAAAGGCACCCCTAATTTTGGGAAACCCTAATCCCCATAAATCCTCAAACCCCAGTTCCATTTCATTTTCCATTTTCTTGTCCATTTGGTTCTCCATTATACAATTATACGGATAAAAAGTACCCCTAATTTTGGGAAACCCGCATATAGCTATTTAAAGCCGAGTTGCACAAACCATGCTGAAGGCATAGAGTATGTCGAAGCGAAGGCCAAAGCCATTACTGAAGATCATTGTCAAAGATCTTCCACCTGCATGCTTGCAGCTGGATGGGCTTTGAGTGAGATTGCCTGTTTGCTGGCACAGATTGGGGCCGGTGAGTTGTGTAGAATTCGCGTGTAGGTGTTGGTGCATGTTGGTTGGAGTTGAAGCCTTGAGCACGCGGTGTTTGCTCTTCAGCGGAGAGATTCATGGTTTGACTCATTTGGGCATTTCCAAAGATTGCGGTCCGTTTTGTATGCCCCCCAATACTATACTTGCTCCACTTTGTTTTGCTTTATGGGGACCTACCGAAAACCGACACCAACTTTTTGCAAACTCCCATTTGCTGTTTGGAACGTTTATCGCCCGCCCCAAGCTTCCTTCCCATACATGACCAAAGTTTGCAGATCCTAAACGATGCGCCAGCTACTGGGGTGGGTTTTTCTGTACTTCAAAGCTAGACTGGCCATCGCAACACGACAGTTCACTGCCCAAAAGCCTGGTGTAGCGTGCAATGTTCTTGCGCAGGAAGGACACAGATCTCTTGTGATCGTCCCTGATGAAATCTGAATTGTCGAAATCTCCGGGGAATCCCCATGATAGGGGACGTGATCTCCACAGGTGTGGGCATTGTCAGGTTTACGTGCTTATGGGGGCGCAGTCAGAACCGCTGCCCAAGCCCTCTGTGCCTGCTGATGTGCAATCGCCGATCATGCATCGGAAGATGGAGAACATGCACTTGGCCACAGACCCACAGTACCTCACTGGCTCAAATCTCGCAACATTAGCGCCAACTCCTAGACGGTGCCTGAACCAGGGCAACCATGCATGACAGCGTGGCTCACAATCCGCTGTGGTTGGGCTAGCTCATTCAATATATGTACATGGGGTAGCTTCCTTTCAGCGTCTCAACCACTGCAAAACTTCTCCACCAGCGCTGACTGTTAAGGCAACGAAGGCGCTCGTCTCCATATATCAGATGCATCTTGCCTTGGATGCTGAACTCTTCAAGCGGCTACCCTGAGGGTGCAGCCCACCTCAACCTTCCCCTGCATCTACCCACCTCGCCCCCTCTAAACGCTGTAACGCCTCGGATCAGTCCAACCAATATCTTTGGAAATCGGTCCTGGTTAGAGAAGCCCCAAAGCAAAAACTGCGGACACAGGGGCAGCCAGGTGTAACTGAGTCAATGTCCATCTCCATAACGTCACCACTACCGCACCTTTGAAAGATGAAGGCTTCGTCCTTTAAGGCTTTGTAAGTTCGAGCCTTGGTCTACTTAGTTGAACACCAGCGAGAGGATTCCCTTCGAAAAAAGAGCATTGAGCACAAGCTAGTATAATGGATTATTTAGGTAATGTTAGGGTTATACTGGGGTTATATTGGGATGGAAAATAGAATAGAATTTTCTGTTTAGGGTTTAGGAGAAGCTGGGGGCCCCGGAAGTGAAGTCAAAATTGGGCGTGGTTAAGCAGTAAGACACGGCACACACTTGGGCAAAGATAAGTAGATAGAATATGGCTTTGGGTTAGTAAGATCCCCATATACCCCATATTCTATCTACTTAAAGGGGACTATAATATGATTGCAAAACTGAGAAAACTGCGGCCGTGCTCTTGACCTTGTATCAGATTAGGAATCAGGCAGGGCCTGATGAAGTACTCGCGGCGTGCCCTATTGTAATTGCCTGAAGTGCATATTTGAAAGTCTTGTTGCTTCAGCCATGCTGTGGCTTCGTACGAACCGTCACAAATACATCGCATTTCTCTTTTTCAAAGGCATGATGGCCCACCTTTCTCATTCTGGCTGAGGTATTAAAACTCCGCAGCCTGACAGAAAGCCGTCTTCCAGCGACACCGAAACCACTAACTAAGGTTGGGTCCCTGATACTTTGCCCAGATGGGAGCTTTCAAAAACTGAGCTACCTCCTTTGGGTTCCCCATGATAAGGATTGAAATGGTGTGGATGCTCTATTGGGGTCCCCCTAGTTATGGAAACTGCCAGATCATTGGGGCACGAAGCCTCTCGACAGTGTCAGGAGCCGCAAAGCTCTGGACCAAAGATCGCAACGCCAAAGCGCAGACCTTACGCGGCTCATGTTTTAGGATGCTAGCTGGCCCAATGTAGATCCTACATCCTAAGTAAGCACTCCTGTATAGACTTGGGGCCCTGTAATAGTAATGGTACGTACTAGGAATAGCAAAAGCTAGAATAATGACAGTGATAGTAAGGAGGTTCCAGTGGGCAGGTATTCTACATCTTGTCGCTGGAGTATTTAAGGACATCAACACGCTTTAGGGTTCAGGCCAGGACGCTGTTACGGTCACAACTCCAGGCTCGTCTAAGGTTCAGGGGCCTGGCTCCGTTTCCTGAGCTAAGAAGCAAGAATTTCAGGATGTTGACGTCTACAGCCTTTGGGGACCAGCTCCTGCCATTGCCTACTTTCCTCCTGACATGCACTCCCATCTTGTTGGATCGGCGAGAAACGAAACGACTAGAACATTCACGGTTGCCTCTTTTTAGTTTAAAACCATTTTGGACATCCAGCCCACAAGAAGCTTGAAGGTCCCTGACACTGATCCAGCTGTTGGGAGCACATCCCTGCTCACTTATTCCATGAGGTCATGGCTGGGAATTTATGGCTGTAAGCGGCGCATGGTGCTTGGACACAATGGCGGTCTGCCCCGCAGGAACTAACCAAGAAACCTTCAACACACTGCAAACCCCATCGGTCCAATCCACAAAGGGCGAATACACATCCGCGCATGACGGTGAATACCCAAGCTACAATCCTTTGGGCGAGGGAGTGAGGGGAGCTGGGACGTTGTTGAACGGGAGTGTACGTTAAGAAGCTGAGCGCGCGCAGTGATTCGAAGACGTGTGAAAGTGTGTGGGGCAAGGACCTGCTAGGCTTGCAAGAGCACTGTAATGAACTTTAGCGCTATGATGCGAATGCTTCAGAAACTAGGGAGCTAAAGGGGTTGCCTGAATCCAGTACAAAGGCATCGACACTGAAGACTCCACAATTTTCTACCCACCCCGGCTAGCCTCCGTGATCCTAAGCCAAAGAATAATGAACGTGGTTCAAGGTATGGTAGGATAGCTGCAAACTTGTAGCAAAAACCTGCAGTCCAGCCTTCCTACTTCAGCCTGTCTGCTTTCCTGAGCGCGTGGCATACACAACAACGGATAGCGTCACAACGACCCAAAAAAGCGACTTGACCTGAGCAGACGGAACTTACATACGAATGTCGGGGTCGCGGAGAGATTGCAGTTGTCCTCCATGAAGAATGCATGTTGGAGTGCTCACAAAAACCTTCTTTGGCGGGCATTGTGGGTTCTTCTGAGCAGGGGTCCAAGTGCAAGTGCCCCATATGAGCTATGACCAAAAGCCAGCCCATTAAAGCACCAAGCCTAGCTACCCATGAATCGACCCCCAACGTTTGACCCTGGGGTTGTGCTATTCAGGCCTTTGATCTGCTCCATGCTGACATTGATATAGGCAATCTACCCCAACAATAGCCCATATAAGCTATAGCCTAAACTCCTAGTACCCCCCTTAATGACTCCTAGAATGCTCCTCTATATAACCCATTGTAAGGAGTTTAGACTACAGCTCATATACAGTCCCATGCTCGGACGGCAAACATGTTGGGATGCTGCTGCTTTCAACTAAGCTAGGCTTTCAACCTCAGGTCGCTCACCTACAGGCGGATCCTGGGTGTCATGATAAGCATGAGGAGAGTAATAATGACCCTAGGGATACAAAGTATACAAATAGTACCTACATTGGGACCTAAAGTCTGCGAGTATTCCCTACATTGGGCACCAAAGTATACTAATACTACCTACATTGGTCTATTGGGATCCTCAGGGGTATTCCTGTAGCCAAATCCTAGACCGTAAGTCGTGAACCCTAAACCCTAAACCCCGAACAAAAGTTTGCGACCCAGCTCAGGACAGCACGCTGATCAGGAAGCCTCAGATCAGCACTGGCAGAGCATTGTCCGACAATCCATTCCCGGAAAAGATTCTGCACTTGGAACTACGGTCGATGGAGGGAACTTCGCAATGTAGGGATAGGTGATAATAGTGAATATAAGGAAGCCTACATTACAGCAGTTCCAAGGGTCTAGAGAAAGAAACGGAAACAACAGAAACCGAGGTTAATGCTCTCACCTTATTTCGCGCAGCGCAGTCATGATACAGCTTACTCTTGCCCAGTACTGCTCCGACACCACCCCTGCTTAAGATTGCTGTACCTTCACCTTGGACCACCCCTCAAAACCCTGTAGTCCACCTTAAGTAGATAGAATATGGGGTATATGGGGACCTTATCATAACATACCCAAATCCATATTCCATCTACTCAAGGGGGACTATAAGCCCTGAACCTCAAGCTTGCTTCTGCCACGAGGAGCCCGACACAATGTTGGCAAGCTCCTGTAGCAGTGGCATGTTGATCAGCTTAGCCAACCGGGCCACCCGTGCCTGAGCAATGCCGACGGTGCTGGCGACAACATGCCTATCTTACTTAAGGGCACGCTTTCAATTTTTGTTTGGCTTCGGATTCATGAGCTTCGCGTCTGTGGTTTGAAGCACCTGTCCCTGAAGAGTCGGGTTCTCCAAATAAGTCATGGTAGGATTTGGCAGCGCATGCCTCCAATTTTGGGGTGTTCTCATCCACCATGCACACCCAAAGGAGCTGGGAGAACTGAATGAAACATGATGAAAGTGCTTGAATGCGGCAAAACTGCGACTACACAGCAGTGAACGGAAATGATGTCGATCAGTATGAGGTGCTAAACACATACTGTGTCTTCTTCGGGTAGGGCTTTCGCTTTGCTTGGGGAGGTAGAGCAAGTGTCCTGAAGTTTTCCTTGCGTTTGACTCAAACAGTAAGTGACACACTGACTTTATTACTGTAGAAATTATGCTGTGCTCATTTCTACTTCTGGTTGTGAAGCTCCATTTTCCCAAGTCACATCCCTAGCCACTCGCTACTAAGCTTTCCCCAGAGGAAAATAACAACAACCTAAAGGTCCCCTGCTACTTGAGACTTCTTTGCAACCCCAAGCCTGCAGAGGCCCCATTTCATGCTTTATGATTCGAGAAACCACAGATGGCAGCTGCGTGCCATTGTGGGTCTCCAGTGCTGGCTTCTTCTCTTATCCGCTGTATGACTTTGGGGGTTATCAGCGGCGCTTCTCAGCAGCGTCAGACATAGCTGACGGAACAGAGGCCCCTGACTGCTAATCCCTTTTGCTATTGGGCCCTTGTAGAATCTTTGCGGTTCTCCCTTCACGAAAAACACCCCCGGCAAGGATACTACAGTGGATAAGGGCCATATCACCCTAAGCCCAAATCCTAGTGGGATGGGGTGCTTCATGACCACGTCAGGGGATAGGGGATGAGATGATTTCTGAGGCTGGGTCGAGCCGAAGACCGCGTAACACCAGAATGATCTTCCTGAGCGTTGCTTGTGGTGAGACATGGCAATTTTCAATGTCTGATTTAAGGGTCAAAGGCATCATCGAGTCTAGGCTAGGAGGCTACTTGTTGCAAAATAAAGCTTGGAGCTTGAGGAGTCGGATGGCTTGAGAGTGGTGGGTTCAGATCTAGGACGAGGCATGCTCAGAGTAGTTGGCTGCAAAGTCAGTCACGAGCGCCATGACTCAAAACCTTTGGCCCAACGCCCTCCGCACAACTGCCCCTTGACACGCTCGGCTCCAACCCTGTTGTGGATTTACTACCTCGCCGACAAGACCAGCACACCGCCAAAAATTGAAATTATGCATTGCTGGACAAAACTGAGCTCAATTCTGAACCATGGGGGAGTCCTGCAACCAATAAACCCACATGCATTTCAGCCTTGAAGGGCCTATTCACCTCTCCTTTTGAGCAACGGACTTTGATGACTGCCGGCTGGCAGGAACAACTCCCCTTCAAGAGGCTCCCGGGGCAAGATGAAACACGCAAAAGTAGGAGGCAGTACGCACTCTCATGTCGGACAGGCCAGCCGCTGGAGCACAGCAATATGATACCCCACGACTGCCCTGAGATTAAACAGTCTCTCCGCAGGCTACCATAGAATCTTGGGAACATTACTTAGAGAATTAAGCGGTTGCTTCCACTGCAAGTGGCAAAGCTTTGAGCCTTGGACTACTCCTACTTCCCCAACTTCCACAACATCAGGGTTTGGGATCTCAAGGCTTAAGGTTTAGGGTTCTGAGTTCTGAAAATAGGCGTACCCTGAGGGACCCCAGGGGGATAGACATCACGATTATGGAGGATTCTGGGGATTTTCATGAGGGATTCTATAGGGAACAGTTAAAGAAACTCCCAACTTCAGAAACAGCAGATTTTCCCTGCAGCTGGAGATCCCTTCTTCTGATATGGAAACCAAATCATCTCCTGCAGATTCTACTCTGGAGTTTTCCCTTACAGCGAAGTCACATGAACTTATCTCCAAGCTGCGCCCGCGATGCATTCGCGAAGATTACATTCAAGAAGAGTTCGATTACGGCAACCTTGGGCGAGCAAGGATTGTCTCACAATCTGGCCGAAAGAAGGCCTGAACAGTCAGTTCTAGTAGCCTGGTAGAAACACAACAGAAAAGTCGACCCTAGAAACCTTAACCAATTGATGAAGTGTACACGACCAATGTTGCACCCAAAATTCTAAGCCTGAACAGAACCTCTTTAAACATCACCATGCTGATGCACAAGCGTTGCCTCCATCATCCACACCTACTGTCTATACCGCATGCCAAGTCTGCAGCGAACTTACTTAGTGCCAGCAAAATCCCAAGCCAGAAGCTAGCTTGCACCATCTTGGAAGCTCATGGGCAGTGAAAGGTAGGGACCTGTCAGGTAAGATAACTCTAGTTACGACCATAACCTTCTACTGAGTACCCTTGTCCAAACTTACATCCCGCTGAACTCCCAAGTTGCAGTCTTCTCGTCTCGGGCTTGCTCTCCACTGTGGGGAGTTCTAGAAAGGGCACTGTAACAGCCCGTAAGGTTGTTCGTGCTTGTAACTTGTTTTTTCCTGCTGAGGTTCTCCAGACAACTCCAAACTATGGACGGAAGATTTTTAGCGGACTGCAGGGTTGGAAGGGTCAGGGCATCGGATCTTTCATTAAGTCTTCCGAACTGAATGGAGAGACTGGGTTCTACGAACTTTGGAGGGATACTGTAACAAATTCTGTCGGATAGTTGGGAGGATCGTATAGGGCTTGCTGGGCCGAGGCCGGATGATTCTGGGGGTCCATATTCCTTCAAAAACCCAAACTAGCAGGAATGAACTGTCCATGACACTAACTGAATGCTTCTGCCGTAATTTCACGGCCAGCGGCAGAGGTAAGCGCGACGTCAAGCAAGTTCCACCACTTGTCAGATCCGCATACATATTCCCGAGGAGTCAGTACCTGGGTTGAAACATGTCATGATATTATGATACTGCCACCAAACGCAACCAAACGAGCATTGCGCTGCAAGCATGGCATTGTGCCCTTGCCCCAGCAAGTCCAGGGCACTTGTATGCTCAGCTTAAGGGTTTCTGCTTTCACCTTGCTTTGTCTGGGGTGTATGGGTGTGGGGTGTATGGTCCGAACTGCCGCAGACACTGCGCTGTGAATTCTGCTGAGAAGCGACCAAACAATGGATCTCAATTGTGCTTCCCTTGCTCTAGCACTTCATAAAACTTCGCTTTTGTTGCCACCTGTGGCGGTCTGGGGTCTGGCAGTAGGACCTGCAGCGACAGTTCTGTTTTGGAGATAGGTGTGAAAAGCTCGAAGGCAGCCACGGCACATAGCACTTGACGACAATCTCAAGAACAAAGACGCAAGCGAAAATCGCTTCAAAGATCATCCAGCCAGCCCAGTCGGGCCAGTTATCCAGCGAAATTCCCATCAAGACGAAGCCTGAGCTGTCAGCCAAGGATTTCAGCAGTTCAGGACTCTGATAATGATGGCTCTTTCTCCAAGTCAAGGTCTTTGTGTATTATATGTGCCGGATGAAAGTAGTATGCAAAAGGTACGGGGACCCCAGCATGTGGCCATCATCTTTGAGGACCTTCCATATGACATGGCAAAAGTCGCAGAACATGGCTCTGAACAGGAGTGTCCAAGCCTTCCCTACACCTTAGGGGCCCTTGCTAAGAGGGGTGGAGAAGTATGCATGCTGGGTGCGGGGGGCTACTATCAATAGATTGCCTGTGGAGTTTTGCTTCGCCGTAGTTTACTAGCTGTCCGAAAACAACGCACATCGAGCCCCTGCAATACAAGGACATTATTGCATACGGTGTTGCCGTGTATGCTTGGCTGTGTTCGTCTCGACTCTGAACCAAATGCTTACTTACCATCACCACAGGCAAGCATGTCTGATTCGCAGACACAAGCCTTGGGAAGCGGAGGGATTCGACACAGATGTGATCTTGGCCACATAGCACATGCCATGTCCACCCTATGTGCGGAGGAGGCAGGTTCTGAGAGCAAATGATGTAAAGGTGGGTTGACACTGACAATGCTGCATACATAGGCATTTCCCTGGGCCTCGGAAGCCAGCAGAAATCCCACAGACACCCTGACACAAACTACGAAGCCTATGACAAGCTTCGATCGTGTCATCACATCGGAAACCCATGGTCTACCCTTAGAAGCTTCACAAGACATGTTGCTACACAACCCTCAGGCAGGACCATCTCAACCCAGTTCCATCCCTGAATACAACTAGATGCACCCCAAGATCTTCTCAAGGTATGACCCTTCAACAACGACTTCGGAGGAGGCGCTGACGATAATGGAGCATGTCGACATGACAGACACTGCGCTCACCCACCGCATGCTTGGTTTCGAGGGCTTCTGGACATCATCCTGTTCAGGATTAGGGCTGAGGAATGCGTAGTTAGTTCCAACTTGGTTATGAGTCCGCTACTCTAGTTATCACTGCAATGAGAAGATCGATAATCCAGGCCTGTAAGTGACTACGAGTGAACCTCTAACAGGGTGCACATGCACAAGGAATGTAGGTCGTTTGGGTTTGAGACACATGTGGGAAACAAGTGGCACCTGCCGGCCCACCCGGCCAGCCACGTGCCAGCACGCCATGTGATCCTAACATGCTTATACGGCTGCACTAGACGTCTTGCTTCCAAAAGCTAGAAGTCCAGAAGACGAACACCCAGTCCTCGTAGGCTGTGAGCAAAGCTTTGGTGGCTCCAGTCAGGGGAATTGCATCACCAAGCAGAGCCTGCTGTACAGCGAAGAGATTCAATGCCTCAGCCACACAAGGAGGTGACAGTGGGGTGCCTTTCATTGTTAGTGGTTGGGGGGTGTGTTGATTAGAGGAGGGGAAAGCCCTGCCGAAATCCGGGGCCTTGCTTTTCATCCAATTTGAGGCCATATACCCCAAAATCAGAATGTACGACTTGTGAGCGCCCAAAAAGCAAACCTGCCCCCCCCCCCCGGATACACTGAAATGTCTAAGGGCGCGGCCACACGGCCTGCGGAATAGCTCGGCAAATCTTCGAGCAGCAGGCACTCCTGTCCGTGATGCAGAGGCCGAAAAAATTGGGTCCAGGGGAAACAGTATGCCTCAGCCACCCTGAGGAGATATGTATTGCTTGCACCCATCGTTAAAGGATTTCAAGCACCCCTCTTTGCAATAGTGTAGGGGTTGCATTGGTAAACTTTCAGTCCTGAATGGGACATACAGACAAAGGTCTGACCAGAATGCTTATCTCGAAGTAGATTCGAAAATGGAAGCATGAGATCATGGCGTCAAATTATAAGTTTTCTTTCCACTTTGGCATCAGGAGTCCAGGGTTCTGTGGCCTCAATTGACTTGTAGTCAGCCCGGGTGCGGGTTGAAAGTATAAGTTGTAGGGTTAATACAAGGATCTGGCGTGTTAAGCCTTTTTTGGTCAAAGGAGGTCAGACCTTGATCACGGACAATTGCAGAAACGGGGAAGTCTACTCTCTCCACACACAGGAAACTGCATGATGAGGTTGGGCATTCATCATGGGAAGCCTATTATATAGTCCCCCTTAAGTAGATAGAATATGGGGTATATAAGGATCTTACTGTAATATACCCAAAGCCATATTCTATCTACTTAAGGGGGACTACCTCCATTAGGTACAGCAATGCATAGCGATATGCATATCAAATTTTCTGAGGGCACGAAGAGCTTGATGGAGTGACCGCATGAGCATCCCTGGGAATTGTCCAGACTACGACGCTTTTTTTTGGCTCTGAAGCTGCTATCGCCAAGGGCAGCACCATGAAAGGCCCCCATTCGGATGATCCAGGACCCCTGAGTCACAAGCACTGCAACATGCCCTTGATGCTGACTGCTTCCTGCATGATTTTGGGGCCTGCCGGCATGCAAAAAAGAAAAACTAGTTTCACTATTGATGATTAGCATCCATGACACGACATCATCCCACACCGCGCTCTCATTGAACCCATGTGCTCGTTACACGTTTGTGGTTTGCAAAATTCACAGGCAATAATTCTGTGTGCTCTTCTCATGACCGCCAGCTGGGACGCTGCAGCACTTTCAGATAGGAAAAAAAGGGATCTGCGCAGAGTCTTGGGTTTATGGTTTGCCGTTCAGGGTTGGCAGAGAGTTGGGGAAGGGATCCTGAAATATGGTCGGTCTTGTAGCCTTGCAAACTGGAGGAACCCAGGTCTAAAAAAAAAACATCTCCTGAGTCTGAAGACACCCTAACATCCAGTCTTCTTCGGCACCTGTTGAATGCACTTTGAACAGGCTCATCTTCCTAGTTCAGCCCCTGAAAACATCTTTCTAGTTCAGCCCATCAAAAAACCCCCCAACGCCGGACAATCCCTGCAAACTCCAGCATAAACCCCTGAGCCTCTAGAAAAAGTGGGGGGCCTGAAATGCTTTCCAGGAGATCACTGGCTGAAAAGCCTGGTGCTTGCCCTGGAAAGATGTCCTGGGTTGAGGTGAGGTTGGGGCCTTACAACTTAGGCTTCTAGAGGCTTGGGGTGTTGGAGGTTGAGTTTCAGGGCATAGGGCATCCCAGCTTGGATCTTCGAGCTTGAACTATGCTTGTTTCAGGGTGCGCGAGCTGCACTGTTGTGAAGAGGTAAATAAGAGCGCTCGAAGGGGAAGCGAAAACTAAGTACTCTAAGTGCTCTAGTAAAGGTGTGACAACACAAGAAAGCTTTGAAACAACAAAGGCATGAGGGCACCGGTGGGATAGGCTAAGGCAGGCTTCTGATGGACAACCCACGGCTCAGCTCGACATCCACCAGTCCAGGAGAGGGTCCATAAAACAACCCTGAACCCTAAATGCCAAATCCCGAGCAGTTGATCACTTCTCGTTCTGAAGAAAGCCTAGCTTCCTAGGGCCTCTGTCTCTTTCGAAGAGCATTTGATGGATACGCCGAAGCTCCACTATTACCTGTGGCGCACCGCAAAAGAGTGGGGTCCATGTTGGGTTGAGCGAGGAAGTGAGCCACTGCGCATGGGACTACTGTTCCTCTCATTCTGAATAAAGGACTCTGATTTGGGGATTCTTCACGTGCAGCATAGACGAATAAGGGCACTGATAAGTTTAAAACTGACTTTCGGGCCCATTGCATCTAGAGCGATTCTGCCCAGAACCAGGCCTCTTCGAGCTCTTCCTCGGCTGCTCAAACATGTAGGGCTTAGGATTTGGGGCGGGGTTGTAGGGTTTAGGGGGGCTAGGGCCTAAGGGGCTTAGAGGCTTTGAGGTATAGGGTATGACCAGGGGTAAGCTTGTATCTGAGGCACAACACATGGGGCACACGTTACATGTTCTACAACCTGTCGTGTGGGATCCACATCTATGAATAATGCCTACATTGGGCCCTAAAGTCTATATCACCTACACCCTAAACCCTAATACCTACCTTGGGCCTGAAGGCGGGGTTAAAGTCTACAAATCATCTCCCTACTTGGGGCTATTTAGTTTCTAGGGCTTTTGGAGGACAAGGTGCCGTGTTGAGTTGGGTCGGCAGTTGAGAGACCGCCTTCCTTGCTGTTTTCATCGCAGTAGTCAGATCCTTGGATGTGAAAGCTGTTGAGCTACATGTAGTCCTCCTTTAGCAGAGGATCTATAGTCTAAACTCCTAGTATATCCCTTAATTAAGAAGCCTGAAAGAAGTCCCCTATATAATCCTGTAGAAAATCCACTTCAAGGAGTTTAGACAATGGTTCAGATAACTTACATGAATAGAAGTGGGAAGCCCTACAACATGCCCTTCCCGGAAATGAAGCAGTACAGCAGTTGGGTCTAAAGGTGGAGCTCTATCTGGGGACCCATGGGCAGCTACAAATAAGGGGTTATATTGGGATACTCGAAAACAAAAGGTTTAGGGTCACAAAAAACAAGAATTAAAGGCCTGCGGCTGATAACCCTACTGCAAATAATCACAATAACCCCTAAACCTTGGACTTGCAGTGCCACAGCAAGAGATGGCTTAGGCTTTGAAATCTTTTGCACTCGTGGTCCCAGGTTGTTAGATCTCAAGGTTTCAGGTCTGATTGGGCTTTATCTTTAGGGTTGATGCTTCGAAGCGTTTAGGACATAGTGGATAGCGCATAAAGCGTCTGGGAACAAGGGATTTAAGGTTCGGGGAGCTCGGGCGAAACGCGAGAAAAAGCCAATCCTCAGTTGGAGCCTCTGAATCCTTTCCACCTTCTGAAAACAACACCCTCCTGCCCTTCACATGACATCCGGACGCGGATATATGAGGAATGGCTTTAAACAGGAAGTGGGGTGTGTCATGGCGGGGAAGGGATTGGACCGTAAACCCGCAGCCTTAGAACTCATCACAAGTAAGCTACGGAAGCAGACTCTCACAGACTATCTAGGGTTAAAGCTTCAGCCCGCATCATCCAAACCCTTCCAATGCAGATCTCAAGAAATGCAGGGTGAGCCGGCCATGAATGATGCGTGCAAGTTGAAAAAACAGCTTGGCGGGCACCTTTCAGAACATTCTTGCGAAGCAAACGCTGTTCGCCCTACTGGGCATACTGTGAGGTTGGCGGAAGCACCCGTAGCTTTATCATCTATATATCTATACATACATACACACACACACATATATATCCTAGATATGGTTGCAGCAGACAGGCTACTGGGATCCCGCTGTCATCTCTCATCCCAGGTTGGCTGTTACAACTTGAGAAGAAGGCCACGAGAGGCAGCAGGCAGGCAGCGAAGTCACAGCGGAACACCACTGATGACGTCATGCGTCTTTGTAGGATAAAGAATTCCAGGGGAGAGGGGGGGGGGGGCCGAGAGGAGGGAGGAGGGACCCCTCCCCGATTAACAGTTAAACCCCTCAAAAATTGATTTGGAGACACATAGTGACCCACCTGGAGAATCTGTGAACGACAACTACCGCGAGCTCCAGGAGAGCTAGCTTTCGTGACAAGGGGGCAGCTCATATATATCAAACACGCTAATTCGGTTTGTACCCTTCATTTCAGCAACCAACCTTCTGCTCTTAAGCTGGGCTCGTTTGGCATGATGACTTTGGCGGCTGCGTCGTCAATGTCGAACTGCCTCTCCAACCTGCAAGCGGAGAAATCCCGAGCATGGAAGTCACTGGGAAACGCCCAGACTACACGATAAGGACCCGCAAAAGGTGACCCTTCAGTCTTTGGAAGCCCCATATTACTGAAGAAAGACAGCTTGAGAGCACGAACGGTTGCAATAAATACCTATCTCACAAAGATATCCTGCGCGCGCTCTCAAAACACAACTTCCTGCATATGATCTAGCGGTGGATCCCTGACCATGCCGACTGAAACACCCTAGCAAATGTCAAGGGGAAACCTACACGCCTCTTTAAGCAAATTGCTGTCAAAGTCTCGGGGATCAGCAGAGGGTCGAGGCAATTCGGGAAATCAGGAACTGCCAAAGCCAGGCTACATGCCCTCTTCTGTAAAGAAACATTATCCCGGGCACTCACTAGACATTTAAAACAAAAACAAAAAAAACACCTGCAACTTTAGCACCAGCGCCGCCAACGCCATCACCCACCACCAACCCTGCGAGGTCCGATACTGCGGCCATTGCTACCGCCACCGACGCCACCCCTAGACCCATGGAAGCACTGCATCACCGGAACCAGCACAATAAGCACATGTACAAGCACCAGCAACACCAGCACGATCAGCAGCGGCACCAGTACCAACACCAGGAGCACTGCTCATGTCCCTCGCCTCCCTGAAACATACCTCCTAGAAACCGTGTCAGGTGAAAACCACCTCTACATGGTTTGCCTCTCCAGCAATGAAGAGCCGTCAGCGGAGGTGTAACAGCCCCTCAGCACGACATCTCTCGTCATTGCATGCGTCAAAGATTGACAGCAATCAGCTTGGATCGAAAAGCAAGTTTGTTTCGACATGATGTAACAACAGGACTGGGATCTCCAGGTCTGTGTGTTGCTTGTTGTTTTGCATCTTGAGGGCCTGAACATACGCACCGAACTCCTGGATGGCATATTAAAGCTGAGTCCCAACGTGAGACCTGCAGAAATCATGAAATGCACTGAAAAATCCCGAGTCTTGTATGATTGACAACTCATGCAAGATCCCGGACGATGCGAAGCTCCCGGGGATGAGGTTAAGCATCCCGTTTTTCACTCGGGTAAATTGGCCATTTGGATTCTCACAAGGAGTATCCTCGCCAGTCTATGACAAGTGCCTCATTGTTGCGTGTAGAAAGCTGGCAAGCTACCGCTGGCTTGCCTCCTGATAGCAGGAATTATCGCATTGTCCCTTGAGAACCAACAATATGACAACACCTCATCCTTCCACGCTAACACGGAGTGAAATGTTGTCCTTGCAGCTGCTTCCTACGCACATCTTTGCAGGCTCCAAATTTAGAAAAGATCAATGTCGACTTTTTGGCTATATCTTTCTGGGCAAAAGCGAAGTTTGGAAAATACCCACAATGCCGTTGAATACGCCGAATGACAAACGCAAAGCCTTGGCCTAGGTAGGTGTGGCCTTCCACAGTATAGACAGCAACCAACAGGGACTGCAAAACTGCAACATGATCAGGGCCCAGGTGAGAGGCTTAGGGTTTAGGGTTTAGGATTTAGAGTTTAGGACTCAGAGTTTAGGACTTAGGGCTTAGGATGTAGAGTTTAGGATTTAGGGTTTGGGATTTTGGGTGTAGCTCTTCTGGTAATTCCGAAAGATCCTGGGGTCTGCTCGTGCCTTACTGGGAGCCACTACAACCACCGCATAACAAGGCTAACCGCTGGCCATGCGCAAGCCATGTCGCAGCACCATCAGCAGAAAACGATACCAAATAGAATCTGCAAATGTCACCACATGACACAATGGGATATGGCCTGCTCACAATGTGGATGCACTCTGTAAGGCCCACTGGTTGCAGATCAATCGCGCGTCCAGTTGCCACGATCCCGAGCACCCCAACTGCTAAGTGAACTGGTTCAGGCCCCCACTCCCACTCCCCGTCGGCGCAAAACTGCTGCCAAGCATCGACAGCATCGGGGGTGGCTCCTGAAGTATGCGTGTCGTGTGCAGAACTACTTAAGTATCAACACCTAGCGTTCATCCTCTGTCATTCAGAGAGTATGCGATTTGGGCCTTCTCACAATGGGGTGGCCCTGAGGGACCTTTGGGATATGTGGGGGTTACACAAACAGAGTATTATGGGGATCTACCTTTGATTACACAGGATTCAACAGGGAAGTGTTGAGATTTTTTGAGACACTCTCACATGACATCATCAAGACCATGGAAGCCGGGGAGCCTCACACTAATGAGGATATGAAATTCTGCCTGCGGCCATTTTCTAAACGCACTTGTGGTATGTTCTTACCCAGTTGATTCTTCATTATTCTCGACAACTTAAGCCGCTAAAGCCTCTACATGCAAAGGCCCCCCCCTTAAGACAGACAATCCAAGTTCCAGATGCTCCGAAGAAGGGCAGATAAGGAGGGCAGATCTCTGAATATGTTTGATGGCCATTATTTTGGAAGTAGGAATGGCGTCAACTTCGGTTTGTACTACAGGTTCTTGCTGTCAGTTCTACTGGCATCACCCGTAAATTCCCATATCATGCTATTAGTAACCCCCGTGAGCCCAAAGCACCAAGCGCTAAGCCTTCAAAAGCCTTAGCCCTTTAACCCTAAATCAAACACAAAAGGAGGAAAACCAAGGAAAGCCTAGACTGCTTCAGCAGCCGAAGGGCAAAGCCCGCACAACTTCCCAAGGAGTTTCTCCGATGGCTGGTGCGGCTGAGGCTGACCCTGGGCTGCCAGGTTCTCCGGCTTTGGGTCTAAGAGTTGGTGGGCCCAGAAAAGATCCGCAAGGAACTCAGCAGAATTGACATTCATGAATAAGATTTGGGGCCGAAAGTTCCGGGGTGTGGAGCATTTCGTCAGGGACTTGTTCAGGGCTGGCGTGTGCTTCCGCGCTTGTTATGCGTGCCACCCCGGCCTGCAGGCTAGCCATATCACCTGACCGGAATTCAGCGACTACACTGACGACACCCTTCATCCGGACTGAAAGTGTCGGGGTTGTTAGGGCTTAGGACAATATTGGGGGATGACAAAACCCTGCTGAGCATTTTAGACCAAGCAAGGGATTTGTGGGAAATTGAGGAAAGATTCTGATACTGGCTGGCTCAGGATGTTCCTATTGTTGCGCCGCGCTTTCTTTTGGCACATTGACCCATCCGAATCACAATCCTAACTACATCCATCGAGGCCAAAACCTCGTGCCTAGGACCACTACCGCCACTGCAGCTGCTACAGCTACTGCCACTACTACTAGTCCTAATCAATCCTCCTCTTCTTGCTTTTTGATCATGTCCAAACCTGCATCCAGCCCAAACTTACCTGTTCTTAGTATGGAACAAATGAATATAATCCATATATAATATGTTCCCTTATTCCCTACTAACCCTAAACCCTTAACCTTAAAGACTAAAACTTAAACTCTAAAAGCCTAAAAAGCGATAAGCAAACCCTCATCCGCATCTGCCAATTGAGGCGCTGCCCATCTACAGGCAGAATACTTTTTTCGGAGACCTGCCGAAGGCAGAACTAACCCTAAGGATCCAAAGAGCCCAACGTAGTTAATGTTTGTAGACTTTAGCGCTGATTTAGGTCTTAGTTGTATAATTGGATCCCTAGGGTAAAGGGACTTCGGATTTGTTTCGGGTTCAGGACTTTGCCAAGTCAGCGGTTTGGGGCTTTAGTGCTCCAGGGGCTCAATGCCGCAGGGGGTCTCATGGGTTCGGGGGGTTTCAACTGGAAAGCTATGCATACTTAAATGTTTAGCAGGATTAGGGATTATCAGTTCGAGTTTTACCCGTAGCGGGACCCTGCATTCTACAACCCCCCAAATGAATATGTCCAATAACGGGACGTCCCCCCAATATACCCCAAAATACTTGGGAACTCTTGAAGAGAAGGTATTCTGATATTTTGGAAGCCCGCAAACTCCCCTGCCTGGGAGACTCCGCTCATCGATCGACGCCTCGCCGGCCGGGTCACCATGACCTTCGCATCGATGTGGCCGCCATTGTCTAGCTTCCAAAGCCTCAGTGTATGGAGTCAAGGTGTGGGACTCAAGGTCTGAATGGGTTCAGGTGACTTAAGATCTTCGTTTGAGGTTTAGAGCGTTGCTGACGCGTTGGACAGGTGAAGGGCTTTGGCCAGGACGCACTGCGATGAAATGCCAAGCAAAGCGTGGCAGGATCATCTCAATGCACTAAGAGTCTGGGTTTAGGAAAGACAGGGCATCAGGATTGGGCTGCGATCATAGACCCCTTCCTTAGCAGGGGGCCCACTTCGAGGGCGGCTGTGTCATGAAGAAGTGAGCACTTTGATCTTTGATTTGGCGCGGTTTTTGCACGCCGCTCTGCTTCCCAACGCGCACCCACAAGCGTGTCACTGGGTCCTGCTATTCCCTGCCACGTTTCGTAATTGTGGCATATCCTCGTGTAATTATGTGCGCAGCAACATGTGTGCCTATACGTATGCATGTGTCCATGCCCTGCCAAGCTCCATAATCGTTGTATATCTACATGCGATTCCATTTGCGGACACATGTATACATAGACATGCCTGTGTATATATATATATATATACATATATACAACTGCATACATAAATATATATATATATATATACAAATAGATATATACACAGACATATATACATACATGTGTACATATTCATGCATAAACACATGTGTGTGCGTGGGCCAGGGCTAGGAGAACCTCCCGCAAACAGCCCCAATGTTGACTAACCACACAAAACCCTCGATTCGGCACTGGTCGCCCGCAGATCAACCCAAATCTCGCAACTCAAAGGGGTTCAGGGCTGTACCCCCCTCCTGCTTCCCTAACATGACCTCAACATTATCCAGATATCCCCTCAGGGGTTGCCCAGCATCTCCTTCATTGTAAACCCAAACCCAGGGGTACAGCCCTAAAGCCCGTGACCAGCTGCACTGGAAGAAAACCAAGGTGCTGCCTCTCTGCATTGACTTCTAGGAGTGTCGTGGCTGCAGTTCGTCCATACC